CAGCGGCTCTTTGGGGCCAAGGATCTGCGAAGGTCACAGCAGCAAACACCTCACAACTCCCCCTCTGGGGGATCAGTATGCCGAAATGCCAGCTGAGCCCGGCAGAGAGAACGGGCGGCCTGGGCCCCCAGAGAGTAAGGGCTAGTGTCCTGCTTTCCTGCGCTCCTGGAGGCTGGGAAGTGGGCGAGGAGGGGAGAGGGAAGAGATAGCAGCGAAGCCACCGCGCTCCACACAAACGGGGCTCCACCCGGAGAGGACCACCCTCCCGGCCCCGGCCCAACGCGCGGCTCTAACGCTGTGTGACCTGGCCAGATCGCCTCCCCTCTCTGTGCTCCGAGCTCATCGACGCCACCCTGTCCCACCCTCGGTCTGCAGCAGGAATGCTCCGGGTGTGACTGCGTGTGCTGGGCTGAGAGGGCCCCTTTCCCATCCGTCTCCATGCCGATCCAGGGCAGAGCAGAAGCACAGAGTGACCAGCTGTCTGCTCTCCCGCCATCACCAGGAAACCGACGTGCTGCCATTCCAAGGAGAGGCCACGGACGCAAGTTCCCTACGGGTCAGGGGGAGGACTAAGTGAGGAAAGTGAAAGTGTCAGGCACGAGGGAGTGGGGGGGACTGGGTGAACTGGGAGGCTGGTGCCCCACTGGAATGGGCAGCCACAGCTGCAGCTGCCTGAAGCCCGGGGGCAACGCAGGTCAGGCACTGACGTAGCTCCTAATGCTCAGGGGAAGCCAGAGGCCCGAGTTTCTGTGTGAAATGTGTGCCTTTCTCGATGTTAAAAACAAATGGGAACATTTAAATAACCTGTGGCAGGCCCAGCAAGACGCTGGCAGGCAGGGCTCAGCCCGGGGCTGTCTGAGTTCGCAGCCTCTGAGGCCAATGGTGTGACTTGGGCCTTTGCCTCTTCGGAGGCTGTGCCCCGGTCCAGCCAGTGGGCCCGGTGCCCCCTTCGTGGGCATCAGCGGCGGGACTGTCCAGCTCAGGCTTGGAAAGCGTCTCCTGCTGGGCCTGGCACAGAGCTGGTGGCACCAAGCTCAGATTTATCCGGCTCCCGGGGGCTGGGGAGGGGCTTGCCTTGGCATGGCCACAGGGAGACCTGGGGGGCGGAGACTCAGGAGCAGGCGGGGAGGCGGCTGGAGGGCCTGGGGCTCAGGCAGGGCCAAAGGAGGCGGTGGAGGAATGAGGGGGACAGCAGCCAGGGCTGGGTCCTAACCCAACACTGATGTTCTGGGGGTTAAGCAAGCAGCGAGTCTGGAGGTACAGGGGTGGGGGTGTAGGTTGGAGCCTGGGGAGCCAGGGAGGGGGGTTGCCATGCTCCTGGGTAGGTGGGCCTCGGGCCTCTGCACAAGCCGGCCCAATGTCACTCCCACGTGTGCAATCGCTGCCCTCGCTGAGCACACGCTGGGCACAAGCACTGGAGGAGCTGGGCCCCCTCGGTCCTCATAGCAGTCCCCCTCCCTCCTGAACCCGTGCTGCCATGACCCCTCCCGAGAGGAGGAGCTGAGGCTCCGGGGGCTGTTGCTTGTTTTAATGCCCCAATCCCAGGGCACGACCCCTGAGCTGTGGCCCACGGGCGTGACTCCCCGTAGTCCCGGTGGCAGCTTGTCTCCAACGAGGGCCATGAGCCACCTCTGGGCTGGGGCTCTGTGCAGCCCTCCTCCTGCTCGGGAGCGAGAGAATGCACAGCAGGGCCCCGTGACTCCGGAGCAAGGCTGTGAGGTAAACTTGTGGCTTCTGCTTGGATCCCTGGGAACACTTGCTCCCTAAGGGGCCCGGACGCCGTGCTGGGGCAGCCGCTCCAGGGGCAGCCCCCGGCGCCCGCCGCACCGCCTGCCAGCGCTGCCGGGGGCTATCTGGACGCCTGGACCGCCGACATCCGGCTGAGGCGTCCCGGGAGGCCCCACGCCAGGCCCCCAGCTGAGCACAGTGAACCACGGAACCGTGAGAGCATCATGCACCCCCATGTGTGACGGGCTATGCATCCGCAGAGAACACTGCACTGCTCACAGCCCCACGCGGTGCCTGAGGCCGCCCCCTCTCGGCACTGAGGCTCGGGAGGGCGGGCGTGGCAGGGTCCACCGCAGCGAAGGTCAGAGGCAGGATCTGCTAGAGGCCACCCCTCAGCCAGCGGCCCTGCCCCCTGGCCCAGCACTGCCCGGCGGCGTGGGGGAGGCCTGGCTAACTGGGCTCGGTCAGACCCCTAACCGGCACCTTCACGCCCGGAGCAGCGTTCCTGCAGGAGGCTGGTGCCCTCCGTCTGCTCTCCCCGCTGGGCCCGGAACAGAGGCCGGGCTGTCCTGCCTTGGAGCTGGTCTCCTCGCAGCCCCTGGGGCTCTGGGGCCAGAACTGTGACAAATGGCCTCACACACATTGAACTGGAGCGATGACAGTGCCAGGTCCTGCACGGCCCCAGATGTGAGGCATGGAAGCGGGGCTGGTGCCTCTTGCGGGCCCCGGTGACAGGGAGAAATGGGCCAGCTCTAAGTGGGCTACACACTGGCCCGTCTTACATAAGTCGTGGGAATGCACTGGCCCTTTGCGGGGAGGCAGCCCTCGGGGAGCAGAGGAGCCGGGCAGAGACTCAGCTTCCGGGGGAAAGGTGCCCATGGCCGACGCCAGCAGGCTGGGTCTGGGCGCCGAGGGCCCCGGTGGAGAGCCCGAGGCCGCTGGGAGGAGGCGGTCCAGAATTCCGTGACCCAGCCCGCTGAGCCTCAGCTCCCACAGATGGAAACGAGGTTCATGTCCAAGTTACATTTCAGATCAACAGCGGTGACACCAGAAGAGCATCTGCCCGTCAAACAGTGTGCTAGGCGCACAGGAGCGGTGTCTACCCCCATCGTCTCACCAGCCGCCCACGGGGCTGAGCGTGGGGCTCTGGAGCCCCCTGACCCCCAGCCTGGGCTGCCCCCCTGGGCCCGCCCCGGCGCTGCCCCCCACAGGCTCCCTGGACGCCTCCCTGCAGCGCTCCTGCCTCAGCCACTCCACCAGGTGCCCGCGCCCAGCACGGCTGGGGTGACACCTGTGCCCACTTCACAGAGTCGACACCCACAAATGTCCTCTCCCCCGTCTCCTCCTTTCCCGAGGTGCGTGCTCACCGCCGTCTGCTGTTCCCCATCCCGCTCCCTGTCCCTCCCTCCTCTGCCCGCACCTGACCAAATCCTACCGAGAGACCCCTTCTCTGTTCCCACCGTGGTGGGTGGTGACCTCTCCTCCTCCCCCTGCGCCCCCTTCCCCCAACCCCCTCACCTACCGCCAGGAGGGTCCACATCATTGCACAAAGCACAGTTCACTCGTCTCAATGGGGTTGCAATGCCCTGGCACTGCTGTCCCCCCACCACCCCACCCAACCCCACCGCAGACACACACACACACACACACACACACACACACACACACCCTGCTAGGAGAGTGGCCGGCCCCATAGTGCTCAGGGAGTACATGTTCGTTCAATGACCGAATGGATAATGGCCTCAGCCACCGAGGCAGCCCTAACCCTGTGCACTGGGCAACTGCGGTCCAGGTCTCTCCAGCACACACCCCTTCTGATAACAGCCCCCCAATCCCACCAACTTTCCTCCCCCTCCACCCCCCCCAACCCCCCCAGGACTCCTCTGGGGGACAGCCTACTCCACTTCTGTCCAGGGTTTGGGTGGGGGCAGTACCATGTGACCCAGGCCAGACCAATGAGAGCCGTCCAGTCTCCTCAGGGATGGTCACATGACTTAAGCCAAGCCAGCGAAGGGCACCCCCGGGGTCTGGGCTGGAAAGGGTGGGAAGACGGCCTCTCTGCTGCCATTGCTGCACCTGTGGGATGGACGCCTGGAACTGAGCGTGGTCACCCTCTTGGCCATCACTCTGGGAAAAGCTTGTGATGAAACCAGCACGAAGGGAATGGAGGCAGGAAAGAGGGGGAGGGGGACAGTTCCTAAGGAATCGGCTGATCACCTGGACCCAGCCAGCCTGAAGCAGGTGTTCTGGTAGCTCACCCAGCACCCATGCCACCGGGAGTCTGACTCCTTCCCAGCTCCTGAGACGGGCCTGGTAAGCTGAGCCCTAAGCTCGTGACCCCCCCACCCCCTTTGTCATGGTGGTGGGTCAGGGAGGGAGTGGCCTGAGTTGGGCTCGTGGGAGGGAGGCTGGGGCTATAGTCGACTTTGGGGAAAGGGAGGCCCCACTGTCCCTGTGAGTGAAGGAGGAGCCCCCCCCCCCCCCGGGAAGCCTGGCCCGGGGTGGAGTCGGCAATGGGGGGGCAATGCTCGGTGCCCACGGAGGGGAGACAGCCATCGCGTCAGCGACGCCGGTCAGACGTGTCCTGAAGTGCACGCACAGCTATACTCCCCGCGCCAGGAGCCCCGGCGTCCTTATTGCCAGACGAGTGTGGGTGGGTTTCCCTGTCACAAGCCAAGCCCCTCGCTGATCCCCGAGGACCGTTCAGTGACAGGAACTCACACAAACCCTTGCTTACCTGGCATCCTGGCCGGTTCTGCCTCTCATACGCCGGGCTCCGCGGTTCGGAGCCCCTCCCCGGGGTCCTCGCACCCATCGGACCCCAGCACCCTCCGGGGCTCGCCCGCCTCAGCTTCCCCTCCCCCCACCGCCTCTCAGAAGGGGGCTGGCACACGTCCTCTGGGGAGGGCCGGACAGTACATAGCTCAGGCTCTGTGGGCCGTCCATCTCTGTCCCCGTAGCGGGAAAGCAGCCGTAGACCACATATAAATGATGGGCGCAGCTGTGTCCCAATAAAACTTTATTTATGGACACTCTGCATTTGCATTTCACGTAATTTTCGCATCTCACAAAAGATTCTTGTTCTTTTGATTTATTTCCCAGAATTTAAAAGTGTAAAAGCCATTCTTAGCTTGAGGCTGATTAAAATGAGAGTGGGCCCACCCTTTGGACTCCGGGCTCACCCCCCTTCCCCCCCCCCCCCCCACCTGGGCTGAGCTGCCGAAGTCCCAGCATGCCTCGGGCCTCTTGTGTCTGAGGTCAAGGCCACTTACCAGAAGGACCACCCGTAGTCCCAGGAGTGGGGCCTCCAGTCTTCGGGGCCGAGGCTCACGGTGACCTGGAACACCTGCGTGTACATCATGTGGGCGACCATTCCCAGGAGGCCTGCGGGGAGCAGAGCAGGAGTCAGGAAGCAAAAGGGGGCTCTGTGCACCCCACGGGCCCACCAGTGCAGGGCAGAGCATGGACCCCCACCCCACCCCATGGGGAAGGACGGTTGCAGTAAACCATGTGTAGTCCATGCAACAGACAGGATTCGTGCTCAAGATTCTTGCTTCCGGGTTTTGCTCTAACCCACATGTGTCAAACACAAGGCCCGCGGGCCAAATCCGTCCCGCCAGGCCTTGCAATGTGGCCCGCACCGCGCTGTCATCACTGCACTCCGCTGTGTTTCCATCACAATGACAGTTTATGACTGTTCAGTAAACCATTCGGCCCGAGATTTAGGCTGGATTTTAGATTTTGGCCCCTTCTCTGATTGAGTTCGACACCCCTACTCTATAAGCACCGCTGCAATGAACACCTTCTACCAGAACCGGGAGGCCAAAGGGCAGAGGGCAAAGGGCAGCCTGGATAAGAGCAAGCCCAGGAGACAGTCAGAGCTGTGAGGTGGGCCAGCTTTCCCTGTTAAGAACCAGATGAGGAAGTGCTTTAGGCCCTGCGAGCCCCCTGGTCCTCTCGTGGCTCTGCCGTTTTAGCGTAGAGGAGGGTGGACGGCGTGGGTCGCGGGCGTGGGCACGTCAGCTCCGGCTGTGGTTTGCTGAGAGGCGGCCATTTGGGAGAAGGAGCCTAGAGTAAGGTGACCAGACGTCCCGCTTTTGGCGGGGCAGTCTCAATTTTTAATAATTTGTCCCACAGCGTTCTAAAAAAGTCCCGATTTTTGGAAAGAACTTTTTTAAAATGCTGCAGGACGTGGGACAAATTGTTAAAAATCGAGACTGCCCCGCCAAAAGCGGGACATCTGGTCACCTTAGCTAGAGTGTTTTTTTAAACCTCAGGTCTTAACTCAGTAGACGAATGCAGTGGTAACTAGTTGGTCTTCAGCCCAGTGGTCAGCAAACTCATTAGTCAGCAGATCCAAATATCAACAGCACAACAATTGACATTTCTTTTTTTTCTTTTTTTAATATATATTTTTTTGACTTTTTACAGAGAGGAAGAGAAAGAGATAGAGTTAGAAACATCGATGAGAGAGAGACATCAACCAGCTGCCTCTTGCACACCCCCTACTGGGGATGTGCCCGCAACCAATGTACATGCCCTTGACCGGAATTGAACCTGGGACCTTTCAGTCCGCAGGCTGACGCTCTATCCATTGAGCCAAAAATGGTTTTGGCATCAATTGCCATTTCTTTTGAAAGCAAAACATTTTAAACTTCTAACGCCATTCTTCAAAACAGACTTGCCCAGGCCGTGGTATTTTGTGGCAGAGCCACATTCAAGGGGCCAAAGAGCCACATGTAGCTCGAGAGCCGGTTTGCCGGCCACTGCTCTGGTGGGTCAGGAACTGAACTTCGTGGGCGGGGACCAGCACTGCCAAGAAAAGGACAGAATGAAACAGAAATGTCAACTCCCAGCAAATGTAACAGGAGTAAGTACTGTCTTGTATGTGGTGTGTGTGTGTGTGTGTGCATGTCTGTGCACGGTGTGTGTATGTGGTGTGTGCATGTGTGTACGTGTGTGTCTGTGCATGGTGTATGTATGTGGTGTGTGTGTGTGCATGTGTGTCTGTGCAAGGTGTGTATACATGGTGTGTGTATGTGGTGTGTGTCTGTGCACGGTGTGTGTACATGGTGTGTGTATGTGGGGTGTGTCTGTGCACGGTGTGTGTACATGGTGTGTGTATGTGTAGTGGCTGGAACATGACATGTTTTTCCGTGGCTCACGGGCAAGTCTTTGAGGCCGCGGGCTGGGAGAGATTGGTTTGAGGGTCTCCCCACGCAGCCTGGGCAGGCACCTCCCTCCTCTGAGCCTCAGCGCCTTCCGCTTGGGACGAGGACTGTGACAGCCACGCGGAGGGGGTAAACCGAGGGGCCTCCGTGCCTGGTGCCCACTGGGCATGCTCATGCGGCTGTCAGGTTCTGATAAACCCGGGCGCCCGTGTGGATGCGGCGGCGGGAGCCCTGGCGCTGCCCGCTGCCCGCTGCCCGCTGCCCGCACGGAGCTGACACAGAGGGAGCGGGCGGCACTGAGGGGGAAGGCCGCAGGCGAGCGGAGGGCACAGGGGTGCAGGCACCCTGTCCGACTGGCACCTCCGCTCTTGCCTCTTTTCATCTTCACAACGACCCGTGGAAGCGCGGGCCCTGGTCACGGAGCTTCCGGCAGCGGCTCCGGCTCCGGTGTCTCCTCCCAGCCCCCGGCCAGGCTTGCCGGGCACAGGGCCTCAGCGTGACACAGGCGGTGCCCGTGCTCCGGGCTGGGTCAGCCTGGTGTGGACACGGCCCCGCTCTCTGACCTCAGGTGAGGGCTGCCCTCCGGGCTGCCGGGGGCGCTGAGGCAGGGCACCCAGGGGGAGGTGACACACAGGTGCCGAGTGCCCAGTCCCATCAGGAGCCCCGAGGCTCTCTGTGGCAGGCCTGAGGACACCGAACCCGTCCTCAGCCGGCCCCCTCGGCCTTGGCCTGTGGGACGGGGGGCGCGGGGGCGAGCCAGCGGGTAGCTTTGTTTATTTACTTGGCACCGGTTTGGGTGAACTCGCATGGGATGCCTTGATAATGAGGAGCCGTATTTAATGTGTTCCACCAGCTGAGGGCCTTGAGCTGTCTCCAGGTGTTTGCCTAAGAGCAACGGGACAATGAGCTCCTCCTGCCAGGCTCCCCCACACCCCCGGGGGCCAACGCCCCAATGACAGGGTTTGGAAAAATCCTTTTTCATCGTCACTCGGTGGGAATTCTTTAGCGGCCCTGGACACTAATCCCGTCGGCTGCCCGGACCGCGGGCAGTTTCCTGCTCGCCTTTCCCCACACAACGAGGCCTCTTTGGTTATGAACAGGCTCTTTTTAGAGCAGAGTTAGGTCTGCAGAGAAACCGAGCTGCTAGTAGGGAGTTCCCGTATGCCCCCTCTCTCCGCCTTACCGTGAGTGGGGTTCAGGAGCTAGTACTGAGGCATTGTTTTTTAAAATATATTTTTATTGATTTCAGAGAGGAAGGGGGAAGAAGAAAGGGAATCATTAAATGGCTGCCTCCTGCATGTTGGACCGAGCCCGCAACCCAGGCATGTGCCCTTGACCGGAATTGAACCTGGGACCCTTTGCCGAAACCAGTTTAGCTCAGTGGATAGAGCGTCGGCCTGTGGACTGAAGGGTCAAGGGCATTCTGGTCAAGGGCATGTATCTCGGCTGCGGGCACATCCCTGGTAGGGGGTGTGCAAGAGGCAGCTGGTCGATGTTTCTCTCTCATCAACGTTTCTAGCTCTCTATCCCTCTTCCTTCCTCTCTGTAAAAAATCAATAAAATATATATATTTTTAAAAACAAAAACAAAAACCTGGGAACCTTTGGTCCACAGGCTGATGGTCTATCCACTGAGCCACACCAGCCAGAGCTTGAGGCATGGTTCCTAACTAAATCTACGGTGTACATTTGGTGCTGCACGTGCTGTGGGTTTTGACACTTGTGTAGGGACAGGGACCCGAGTCCTGTGCCCAAGAGGCTCCCGGACCTAAACTCCCCCGTGCTCCACCCTCCTCCCTCTCCCTCCTCCCAGCCTGGGCGGCCCCTGCTCTTCTCTGTCTCCGTAGGGTGGCCTCTTCCGGAACGTGGGTTGTTGGGGTCACAGAGGGAGGTCGCCTTTCAGACTGGCGTCTTCCACGTAGCAGTGCATTCCGGTGCCTCCGTGGCCCCCGTGGCCCGGCTCACGGCGTTTGGTGCTGAATGACGCTCCCTGTCTGGACGCCCTCGGCTCATCTACCATCGCCTGCTGAAGGGCATCCTCGCAGCTTCCCGTTTGGGTGGTTGTGAGTACAGCTGCTTGGGCCGTACATTTTGGTATTTGATGTAGTCAGACCCACCCGTCCTTCCCTTTTCGGGCTGCAGTTCCTGTGTCTGACTTAAGAAAAGCAGCACCACGCACAGTCTCCTACAGTTTTCTAACGTACTTAGGGCTGTTGGTCTAATTCCTCTGGAACTTATCTTAGTGACTGGTGCGGTGAGGGTCCAACGTAGCTTTCTTAAATGAGTAACTAATTGCCTTGAGCCCTTACAGAATCAACCGACCTTTCCCCACTGATTTTATTTTATAAGTACATTGTATTGATTTCAGAGATGAAGTGAGGGAGAGAGAGAGAAACATCAGTGATGAGAGAGAATCATCGATGGGCTGCTTCCTGCACGCTCCACGCTGAGGATGGAGCCCGCAACCCGGACACGTGCCCTGACCGGGAATCAAACCGTGACTTCCGAGTTCACAGGTCAGCACTCAGCCACTGAGCCACGTCAGCCGGGCTCGCCACTGATTTTTAAAGGACATTTCACAGCGTATTCCAAACCCCACATCTGTACCAGTTTTCCTGTCTCAGCATCTGTGCCCTGGCTCGCTCTGTTCAGTGTCGGCACCGCACTGTTTTAATGACGTCACTTACAGCCCTGTCAGTCCCAGCCCAGCACTCACTCCCCTGCACCTGCCCCTCCCCAGGACTCTGCCCTGAGGTGGGACCCAGACCCCTTCCTGCCCCACCGGTCCTTCCTGAGGGCTGGGCCTTGCTCTCCAAACCTCGGATGTTGCAGCTTCTTCGGTTTCTTCCTCACTGAGCCAGCCCAGAGGTTCTCCGAGCTATTTGATCTCCCAGGGCCTTTGTTTTCTCATCTATAAAATGGGGGCAGAGGCAGACGCTGGCCACTTCCATGAGCACCAGCTAACGAGCGAAAACGGTCCTGGGGGCACACCTCCTTACAGCAGGACGGGGGACAGCACAGCATTTTCCTGCGAGAACTCCCGGCCGGACCCAGGCCTGGACCGGCCCGCTGGCAGAGTAATTAATTCTCTGAATTGTTGGTATAGAAAAGCATTGATTTCTCAATTGAATCCATTTATTCTCAAATCTGAAAGGCCGTGCGTTAAGAAAATCCAATAAATGAAACTGCAATGGGTGCGATTCTCGAACTGCAT